ATGTAAGACTAGTTAAGTCTTCTATTTCACTAATACTGCTTATAACATATATATTATCTAAATTAGTAGTACCAGAAGAAATATTATATTAATGCTTATTTCAATTGAAATAATGTTATTATCTATTACATTTTTAATTTTATTAGCTTCACTTAGCTTTGACGATATATTAGGTCAAACATACGCAATTTACATAATATCAATAGCTGGAGCAGAATCTGCTATAGGATTAGGTATATTAGTGGCATTTTATAGATTAAGAGGAAGTGTTGTAATAGAATTTAAATAATGTATTTAGCTATGTTAACATTACCTTTATTAGGTTCAATCAGTTTCGACGCAAAAGTACTAATCTTCATTAGTAAGATATCCTGTTTTTTTATACTAGCATTTTCAGGTAAAATAGGTTATGTATATACTTATATATATCAAGAATTTATAAATATTACATGTAACCAACCTTTTATAGTTATATCTATGATACTACAATCATTTTTAATACTATATTTGTTGTTTCTTTTTTTCAAAAGAATTGGGTTTAAAAAGTTGGCTATATTTATATCATACATTTTTTGTTTATTTCAATTTATCGATAGTTGCATAACTAACAGTATGACTAATTATTTTTCTATATCTATTATTACACTTTGTTCCGTACTAAGTGTAATACCTGTATATAATAACTTTTTTATGAAACAAAGTAAAACGCCTAAAGAATCTGTGTTTACAGAGGCTTTAACTAAGTTTTACTTTTTACCTAAAAAATATATAATACTATTTACACCTGTTATTATTATGTCTTTATTTTTTACAGTATTGTTTAGACATGTATCAATTTACTTTTTGGATCTATCACATATAAGCTTAACATCACATTTATTTATAGTATTCAGCCTTATAGTACCTGGTATTATATTTTTTAGAATAGTTTATGCTATTATATTACATTACCGTTTAACACACGGTAATGTATGTATACTCTCTGTAATATTCCAAGAATTATTTAATATATCGAATTATAGATTAAACAATATCGATTTAACCTTAACGGTTAGCATTTTAACTTTTGGTGTTTTCTCTACAACCATCATCGAATTAATTTATTTAAATATTGACAGTATTAATAGTCCTGTACAGGTAAATGAAGGTGTAGGCTTATATTCTAAGTATAATTATTGAAATATAATTCGTTCATGTAATGATTCTTCTCTAACTGCTGTTGAGCCAAGCGATTCTCCTACATTTACAGATACTCCTCCACCTACAAGTAGTCCATTTTTACCTGACTCTCCTGCTAGATCAGTTTCCCCTCCGCCTAGCTTCGAGCAGAAGTTATGATTAAACAGAAGAGAGAGTCTGCAAGACGCAAAGGCTCTAGATTTAGGTAAGCGAATCCTGCTTTACAAAATTTGTTCAGCTAGAAATATTCCAAGAGACATTCAAATGTATATACAGGATTGTATTTGAGGTAATCATTGATACGAATTATATACTACTGAATATGCCCACGACGAGTCAGGAAATATAGTCCATAATAGTACACTTGATCACCTACCAGGAGATGTAACTTACTCCTTCCAAGAAGGTGATTACTCTTTTGTGGATGGTAGATACTTATTCACACCTAACTCTAATAATACTTAAATAGTAGTATTATGGTTTAACTCTTTTATTAATATAGTCTATATACTAATAAAAACCAGTACTTACATTCTTTACATTCGCTCTATTATTTATATTATTTTACTTAGAAACACATATGCACTAGTAAGATATAAAAATATTTGCATATTAAACAAACACAAGTTGTTTTTTACTTCTTTACAGCATAATAATATGTAAAAAAAAAAAAAAAAAAAAAAAGAGTATAAATCACAAAAAACATTTATTGTAATGTTTAAACAGTTAATAAATCCTTAAAGCAAAGCGACAAATATAAATTATAATACTGATCACTTATGCAGTGAATAAGTAATAAAACTAATGGTTGATATATACTGGTTTTTCTTGCATTATTAATATATCTCTTGCATTTTTCTTTTTTTTTTTTTTTGTAATTGCTTTGTCTACTTTCTATAGAAAGTGCAATTTCACCTAATTCAAAAGCAAAACCTAAAGTTAAGACCAAGAAGAATAAAAGCATTATTATACCAAATAAACCGTTATCGTAAGCACTTACTTTAAATAAGAATCCTACTGACAATATAATTAAAGATAAGTGTAAGTAATACGGTTGGTATCAGTATG